GTAATCCAACGGAGAATCACTCTTGCCAACAAGTGCTGCTTTGGGCTGAGTAGGCAATTGAGAAGTTAAGTCGGTAATTCTCTAGGGTGGGGTAACAACCCCTAAAAAAGGTGCGGAAAAGTCGGGAGGGGTACCAAACGACGCGTTTCGGTCCCCCTAATAACAATCCGGAGGGGGGCGGGCTAATATTATTAACCATTTAAAAGTTATGAACAAAAAACTTTTGTTAAATTTCGTTGTTTTCTATGATCAATTACACCGACAAAGATTCACTAAATTACCTGTTCTCACTTTTTAAACACTATTCAAATATATAATTTAACTTATTTATTAAAGAAACACATAGTTTTATCAACCTAAGATAGATTATTTTGTTATTAAAAAGAAGTTGACAATCTTTGAGAGCTGAAACGCGAGATTCCAAAATAGATATAGTGCTGCCACTGTATTAGTATTTCGTAATAATTCACTTTTCCTTATGAGATGTGTGCACTGAAAGACTAATTGAAAGATCGGCTAACAAGGAGGTCTTAGTGTTTTTCTCTTTGTCATTTAGCAATTAGTTTTATAAAATTTAAATTAAACAAAAAATATTTTTTCTTAAAAAATAATAATAAAGTAAAATTTAAGCTAAAAAGAAAAATTAAATGAAATAAAAATTTTGTAAAGTTGAAAAACAAAAAAAAACAAATATTTCAGAATAATTAAATGAAATTGAAGAAAAAATATTTCTCTTTTTGAAGCAATGAAATCTAAAAATGAATATAAAATTAAATTTAAAAAATATATATTAAAAGAAAATGAAAAAATAAAGTATGTCTCTAAAAATTAAATGAAATAAATATTTTTCATTTTGAAACACTAGAATTCTAAAAGTAAAAAAGAAATTCATAAAAAAAAGAAAAAAAATCATACTAAAAAATAAGAAAATGCAAAGCTAAATTTCTAAAAATTCTATTATTCTTTTTAAAGCAATAAAATTAAAAAATATAAGTAAAAAATTAAATTAGAACAAAAAAAAAAATTAAATCACAAAGGAGAAAATAGTAGGTTTGTTCGTCGAGCAAAAAATTTGTACGAATTTGTACGAATTATCACGATTTTGCCCAAATCGCGTTCGTGCAGACCAAAAAATTATCCAACACTCAAAAACTGTGAGAGCAAAGTGACAGTTCTCTTGGAGAAGTTGCAAATTATTGCTGGAAAAAATTTTGCCAGCAAGAATTTGCAAACACGAAAAACATGTGGTTGTGGCGCATGGTTGCATTTTTGTCCACAATAATTTGAATAAATTAGTTCGTTAAATTTAAAAATTTATAAACACGACCGATTTTTTTATGAAAAAAGGAAGTAAATAATTGTTGATATAATTAA